TCCTTCCATCCCGGTGAATAGTCCTTATACCGTCGTATAAATGGGATGTTGGCCATAGCACCGCTGTGAGATGAGATTGGGAGGAGGAAAGTGCTGCGGACAACGCATGTTACCGTGTGCGCTGAATCTTCTGTCTTTGGCTCAAGCGAGTCGCAATGCGATCACGTGCTTCGCGATAGAGGAGAACACGACAACCAAAAGTTTAACTTGCACATTGCGTGCTTGACTAGCCACCTGAGCTGCGTCGAGGTGAGTTATTATTTTTGAGAACGCACAGTCGACAGCCATAAAACTAAAGGGCAAGGACGAAAATATCGCGCAGCTACTGGTTCAAACGTAGAGTGTCACAGGGGCCTCGTTTCTTGTCAATGTACGCAATCGTGAGCCATGAGCCCGAGCTATGACTAGGATCAATCTGCATATAGGAGCAAAGGCCGCCATTCAAAATCTCTTCTACGGACGATGATGCAGACGAAGGTTGCAAAACCCACCCCGTACGGGATGTTGCACCTAACATCCAATCCAGTGGGAAGTATTCGAGTTCATTTTCTCGCGATCAGTCGTCGCGAGTTGGGATTACGTACACTCCCTTCGTGATCTCTATCATATCCGCTGGGCATTCTACGGATATGCCCCCAATGCCGGCTCAGTTCACGCCGTCCCCAAAATTCCTCTCGTCGTACCCTGATATCGGAATCATTATGCCGTGAACTCAGTTTTTCCGGGACCAGGGCCCTGACTGGGCACCTGGTTCAGGAAAGATGAGCCTACATTCCAATATCTCCGGTTACCGTGTACACGAACAACGTCAAGGGAATAAGGGTATCTTCGGCCATCTGGGCAGCTGCGGATGCAGATACACGAGGAGACATAAGCATGAGTGCCAGTACAGTATCCATCCCTTTGGAGCAGTTTGTGGCTCAATCCTCAGGACCTAGATTCCGTTCATCTGGGTCCTGACTAGAATGGCATGAATGCAGACTCGGACAAGCCCTAGGGCTGCGTCTAATTTTTCTTCCTGTGCTCCTCGCGAGTACCGGGCGTTCACCCCGCGATTCGAAATGTCTTATTCCTCCGTCATACCTTACACATCGCATACCCGCCATTGAGACAACTTCAAATGCGCAACGCCGTCACATACCTCAGCTCCATGTACCACTTCGGATATTTGGAACATCATCGTACATAAGTCTTTGCTCACGACACGCCAATGAGGGTCATCCTGCTAGCTGACCGTTGATAACGTTTTCAGGCCGTAAAAACCGCACAAAACCACAGCCCGTAATCGATTATTTATATTTATATAAAGAGAACTCGATAGCAATGTGATCCTAGGAGCTGTTCGTGACTAGCAGAGGATGGTATATAAACCTTGTGCGTGTAAATCAGTCTACTTCGGAAGACTGAAGAAAGTGATACAACACTAGCTAACAGAAACTGCACTCACTCCATACGCTTCATACTATTCCACTTATCCGCCTACACTCCGTCAACTCTTCTGAATATATCCGCAGCGTCTCCTGCCACATTCTGAGCCACTCCCAAATCTCGTGATCGAACATGCCCCCGTTCTCTCCAAGCTTCTGCCGCACGTTCTCAGCGACGGATTCTATCTCTAGCCGCGCCTTCCCGGAATAGTCCTTCTCCACGATGAACGGCTTGATCTGCGTGTAATGGACAATTCGCGCTTCCCGCATGAGGTTCGCCCACAGCTCTGGGCTACGAAGCTTGACCGCCAGATTGACGTTATACACATACGGCAGCCGCACGGCCTCTTTGCCATAGTAGTGGTTAAGAAACGACTGATCTGCATCGTCTGATTTGTATGACGCTGATCCTATCTTGCTTAGCATGTCATCGAAAATGCCAGGCGAGGGGCGAAGGAAGAGCATCGCCGCATTGAAATTCAGAGCGAAGCTTCTGCTGTCAAGGAACACGTCCGGAACAGCGGCAAAGTTGAAGGGCAGGTTGAACAGCTCGTCAAAATTCCGCCGAGCGAGCATGTCGGCGTCGAGATAGACGATGCCCTTGATCCCAGCCTCCTCCAGCGTCCACATTGTCAGCTTCGTGTACTGATCTTGGAGATGTCTGCTGATGCCCCGCTTAGGAGGTGGTATTCGTTCGACTGCGTGTGGATAAAACCCGGTAGAGCTGGCGATGCAGAGAGCACGAGGGGAGACGTTCTCGGGAATATACAAGAGAATACGTAGTGCGGTGCTATTTACTCTGTTCAGAGAGTGCCCGAGGGTAGCAACTGCAACGGCGTATGCGTCGCTGTATAGCGTCGTGACGATTGCATTTTCTTGCGGATCCGGAGGGGCGATGAAGAATGTTGTGTTTAATATCGACTGGGTGTTTCTACGACAAATGTGCTTATATATTATAAAACCGAAAAAGGGGTAATGTGTATGTACGCACAGGGGTTGGTAGTCATCCAGGGCGGTCGGATATTTGTGTGTAAGCTTGAAGATGAGGATAACATTGAGGAGTATAGATAAAGTAGCAGCAGTGGCCACAGCGAGCACTGTTCTTCGTGGTAGTGATGACCGGGTTACAAAAATATTCAGGAGTAGAGCGAGGCAGCCATTACAGCGAAGCAAAAATACCATTAGGGGCAGGTACAAGATAGCATGGACTCGGAGAAGTGCACACAGAGTCTCGGAGTCACCGCATGAGGCTACTCGTTGATCCGGTATATTTGAGAAAGTTTGAACAGCCTCAGCCTGACAGCAGTCGATGTGGCGGGGGGGGGGGGGGGGGGGGGGGGGGGGGGGGG